TGCGGAAGAGCTGGGATTATTATTGCATTAAAGCACCTGCCTTGTATGTAAGGCAGAGCTGTTTGTACTTACTAGCACTTAGCCCCTTGCACAAGCTGAAGGGATTCCTCCAAGGTATTTGTTATGTGTTTTACAAACGTGATATTCTAAGCTAAATGAAATCTCTGGAGCAAGTAACCAGCCACTTGCTAGAATGTGTTCCCTTCCTTAGAATTTTTTTTTTTTTCAAAACAGGCTTTTTAAAAGATGTGAAAGCCCAATTTTTTTTAGTGCAGGCACTTCTTTAATAAGAATTTTCTTGTGAACGTGTTACATCCAGATCAGTAGCTTTGCTGTCAAAACTAGTGTAGAAGTATACTGAAAATGCTGAAATTCAAAACACGTCTGTCCATGCCTTGGAATATAGTTTTTCTCTGTCTGAGTAAATAGAACAAATGAAGTCACTTTTTTTTTTTTTTTAATTGAGTTGCTTTACTTTGGAGTGTTAAAACAAAGGATAATCTTCTTGCACAGGATCGAGGAGATGAATTCACTTACACTGGGAGTGGAGGTAGAGATCTTTCTGGCAATAAAAGGATTGGAGAACATTCATTTGATCAGACATTAACACACATGAATAGGTAAGTTTTGAAGATAAAATAAAAACGTATTCCAAAACAAAGAGCTGGGTTGTAGTGCTTCAATTTAAAACTAACATTTTGTTATATTCATCCACTGCTTTCATAAAAGTGGTGCTTCTAAGAGGCATTTTATCAAGCATTATGTTCTGTTGATTTAAAGAAATGCTTGCACCTTTATGAAATGGTACAGCTGTATGACATTATGACAATGGACAGTCATGTCTGAATTGTCCTACAGTTTCCTTCCAAGGATTCCGAATTTAATGAGACGTTTGTCAAAACTCCTGAGTGGAAGTTTTCAATTCTGGGTGTTTCTTTTTAAGTTTCTTCTTCAGTGGTTAAGTCAATTACAAAATTTATGTAGGAAGAAGGCACGTTTATTTTCCCATGTTTAAAGAAATTTTCCCGATTTTGCTAGCCCTTTTTTCCATCATGGTTTTCTGAAAGGCAAGGAATAAGGGTGTTGCTCTATCAAAAACAGGTGCTTGAAAAAGATAATCTATGTCTAAAAGATGAATTAGACATCTGCTTAAAGTGTTTTATTGTCCTCTAAAAGACTGCCTGAACTAAGAGTTCTCCATCCTTTTCTCTTTCTAAGAGCATAGTCTCTGTTATGCAACTGACCACTTAGCACCTGTGGCGTGCTGAGATTGACCGAGACCTTTCCTTTGCCTGGTCTGCTTTTAGATATGATGTGCTGCTCTCAAGCAGAGTGGAGAGGGGTTCTTTCAAACTCTTTGGGGGTAGAGAGGAAAAGCCTGACTTGGCTGGTGAGGGAGGGAGGGAGAGAGAGAGGGGTCGTGATGTGAACAAGAACGAGGAGGTAAGGAAAAAGGAAGTAGGTTTAAGCAATATGTTTATGAGCATATTTAGTGAATAGAGCAAACTTGCTCTGGGAAATGGAATTAAAAGCAGGACTCCTTAGTCTCAGCATTTCTCTGCTGTTAGCAAATGAGAAATCCACTGGCAAAAGCTTGCCTTGTAGCTTTGCAGACATTAGTGCACATGGAGTATAACAGGGTGTTGCTCTCCGTTACTGATTTTGGTACCAGTTTTCAAGCACTTTGGTACTGAAAATTATGATTCCATGTAGTTGAATCAGTATTGGTTCTGCTTGTCTAGATATCTTTCCTTTTTTAAGTTTTGTTTTTAGATAAGAAACATTTTTCAAGTTAGCATTATATGCCTGTCTCTTACTGTTGTGTACAATGTGAGTTTTATACTCGTACCATAGCTGTTCGTAAGCCATAAAATTTCTTCCATTCTGAGATCCATGGTTTGGTTTGAGTCTGATTCTGAAGGGTTTGCAATCCTTGGTCAAATCAGGCTGTGGTAGTAGAAATACTGTTCATTAGAACAGCTTGGTCTAGTAGGTATTTGTACTGTCTTACTCCAGGTTTCTAGAAAAGGGTCTTCATGTAGTTGGTGGGTTTGTCCTTGAGTTAGCTACCATTATTTAACTCCTACTCTGAGGGAATTTATGTATTATGTGAGAGATTTCAGTTATTTATAGGTCTTTTGGGTAGTATCTTTTTTTCTCTGTAGTGTTTTTCATCATACTCATTACTTTTGTGTACACACTTTAAAAGGCTTAAAATCTGCAATTAATTGGGAATAATGATAGGGAAAGTTTGCCTTTTGCTATAATTTTCTTTTAATTCCCTCAGTGCTATTTAGGAAGGGATTATTTAAAAAATGAAGAATATTAAATCGAAAAGGATTGGTTTGTTTTATTTCGCGATATTGGCTGATATTTTCACCTGGAACCTTGACAACAAAATATTTTGTGTTCCTGTATTTTTTTCTCTTAGCATACAAGGTAGCCTGGATCTCATTGCTTCCATCAGTTCTGCAGTTGTAAAAGAAAATATAGAAAAGTTCTGTGCTGCTTGATAAAGCATAATTAGACAAGGAAAATAGATATGACTTAATTACATTCATTTTCAAAAATCTCTTGTGTGAAAAAATCTAGTTTATGAAGATTTTGAATCTCTTTCTAGGGCATTGGCTCTTAACTGTGATGCCCCACTGGATGACAAAAACGGAGCAGAGTCTAAGAATTGGAGAGCTGGTAAGCCAGTCAGAGTAGTGCGCAGTTCAAAAGGACGACGGATCAGCAAATATGCCCCAGAGGAAGGCAACAGATATGATGGCATTTACAAGGTATCCTGATTTCTACTGAGTGCAACACATTTTTCTTCAGCTGTTTTAAAAAGTCTCATATGTGTTACATTTCAAATTCTTCATTATTGCCTAAGAGAAATAATTCTTTTTTCTCCATGATAGCATTTTAGTCTTAGCTTATTCTGCAAAGAACTGAAATGTCATTATTCAGTCATAACAGAATATGATCATAATAGGAAATACAAAGTTGAATATGGTAAGCGACTTTACATGTGCTTACTGAGTCATATTCCTCCATGGAAATCAAATTATTTCCTCACTCCTTCCAACTATATCCTAGCTTTTTGTGCATTTAATGACTTCTCAGCATCTGAAATAAAGGTGTGTGCCTTTTAAGAGCACTGTATTTATATAAAATACAAAAATTTCACATCTGAGGGAGGTGCTGCTGTATAATAGTAATGCTTAATTTAGTCTTCTCATTTCTTCTAACAGTTAAAGTATGACTATATGCATGTGTTTGGCTTGTGATAAAATAATGGCAGTAATTTTATATTGTTCTTTAGGTGGTGAAATACTGGCCAGAAATTGGAAAATGTGGATTTTTAGTTTGGCGCTATCTTCTGAGGAGAGATGACGTTGAGCCTGCACCGTGGACTTCAGAAGGAATGGAGCGGTCAAAGAAACTGGGTCTGAGTGTACAGGTTCGAATCAGGACTTGAAGAGTTGTTTTTATTCTCAGTTCCAGAAAAAAGAAATTGGTTAAATTACAGCCCTATTTTTTTCTTTTACTATGGCAAGTTTTAATACCAAAACACACTACAGCTTATCTGCAAACTGAAAGAACCCTATAATACTGACATAGCAGAAGGAATGGTGGATGAAGCTTTCTGCCTTAGCAGTGAACTGCTTTGCATATATGGATTGGAAAAATAAGAGTTTGAATCCAGTTTTGTGATCTTTAGGCTGGAAAGAATTTCTACAAGCAACTGTTGTTATAGCTGTCTGTCCGAGAAATCAAAAAACTGTGCATTTTTATGTATTTTTCTGTCCACGTGGCTGAGGAGTTTGTATAGATAGTGTATTTGGGGCACAGAAGTAAACTGACCCATGAGGACTTGGACATTGCAGAATCCGTGAAAGATGGAAAGAATTAACATACTGTTTCTTAGAAAGGCAACAGTATATCTCACAGCATACGATCATCTTCAGCTTTGCCTAACTGATTTGTATAGTTGTAAGGGCATAGATATGGATATTGGGTTCCTTTTTATACAGTCAAGTCTGGATTAGATTCTTTGACTTGACTACACTTTCTTGATAATAGATACTAATTTAAATGTTTTCTCCATCATGTAGAGTTTTAAAACTTGTTTTGTAGTTATTTCAATATGTAGTCACAAGGTTTTAAAGTCTTTTAGAAATTAGTCTTGTTGGTATTTGGGAATTCCTGTATGCCAGTGGGTGTTGTTTTAAATCGATGCTTTTCTATTTTAGTATCCAGAAGGTTATTTGGAAGCCATGGCTAGTAAGGAGAAGAAAGATAAGGTTAAAAAGCAAACTGTGAAACAGGAGCCAACCAGCCAGAGTAACGGAAACCAGAAAAGGACAATTGATGATGGTATTTGTTTTTACTTTTTTAGCATTCATCAGCAAGGTCTGTAATGTTACATTTATTAAGCCAGTAGCATGAAAACTTGGCGGAAGTGTGAAATTATTAGGAATACTAATGTAAATTGATAAGCACGTGCTCTGTAATGAAGTAGCAGTGTAGGGATCTTATCCTATTTATCGTTCTTTACCACACTTACGGGGTTTTTTTCTCTTAAGCTCTGTAGGAAAAAATGAACAGTCTTCTGTGCAACTGTGTGCTGCAGTCCAAAACAGTGCTGAACAGTATGAGTTGGAGTAGGGATTTGATTGCTGCATTTCATGAGTGTAATCCATGTTTTAGTCTTCTAGAAACAGTTTTGTCTTTCCCTTTTATTAGTTCAGACTAACGCTCTGTTGTTACTGCATCTGATGGTCATCATCTTAAGCAGGTATAGAGGAACCTACGAATACACCCAAAGCCATGAGGATGGGAGATGGAGGGAAAGGAGAGGCTTTCCAGCTGACCCAAGAGCAGCAGTGGCTGATTAGAGAAGACTGCATGAACCAGAAACTGTGGGATGAAGTACTTGCTTCTCTTAAGGAAGGACCAGTAAGTTTGCTGCATGCATCGTTTTTAATGTTTACCTTTTCTTTAGACTGTTAGGAGAAATCTTTAATCTCTCTTAAAACGTAATTTGCTAGTTGAACTTTCGCTGAATACAGACTGTGTCTAGCATTATTTTTATTTGTAAGACGTTGATTTTAAGAAAACAATCCCTGCTTGTACAATTTGCTATTAATGGCTCGGTTTACACCTGCGTAATAGAGATCTTTTCTTGCTCAAAAAACATTTTGAAGTTAGAAGTGGCATTTTTTTCTTTTCATTTTTGAAGGGAGCATGTGTTCTCTGAAATTACAGATGTATTTCTCTGCTGTGATGATGTGAGAAATCAGCGGTGCAGAAAGATGTCACTCCTTTTTGTTTAGGCAAAAAAAAAGGTGACAGAAAATATATCTTGCTTGCATTGTTTAAGAAGATAGAAGTATAGTCATCTTCAAATTTAGATATGAAATGAAAATATTTTCATCCAAACCTCGATTATCCCACTCTGTAGAGAGGGAACCATAAGTAAGAGCGAAAATACTTTCCTCCTCCTAAAAGTCAAAAAATAGCAAGAGTAGCTCAAGATTGAAGAGACCGTAGACTAGTATAAAAAAACTAGTATAAAAAAAGACCACAAAAGGAATATATCCTGAAATATTTCATCTTTCAGTGATAATTAGTCTTACCAGTGTCAAGTTCATAGTTATTTTAGCTGTTTTGCAGAAGAAATCAAGGCACTAAGAAGTTAAAATAATTTGGTAAAACTCAACTTACTGAAAACCAAACCATTGGTTGGAAAATGGATATCTAAAAATGGACAGACATAATTAGTTTATGTGAGAATTACCAGTGGCTATTTAGGGTGCTTCTGTAACACAAAAAGCATCTATAATTCCCTGTTCTTCCACTTACAGTATTAGTTTTTGCTATAATGCTGCTGCAGTTGTTTTTGTGTAGGAAGTGATAGTGCAAAGTTACTTGCTGCTATCTGTCTTCTGTCCAATGTCTGTAATGACTAGAAGGAATTTCAGCACTTAAAACTGTGCACGATGACAGGCAATAGAGATAGGTATTTGTAACAAGGAGAAAGCAGTAATTTAAAAGCTGTTGAGTCACTGAGAAGTCATTTTTCTACAGATTCCTGGCCATAATTTCGGTAAGATTTCCATTTGGTTGCCACTAAAGGCAATGGGAATCCTCTTGGGTTGCTACTATGAAAATGTAAATCTTTCTGCTTGAAACTACCACCTTCCCTTTTAACAAAATAAAATGTGGTTTAAGATAAATCTGGTATTTTGAAAATTATTACAAAGAACCATATTTTGATTACCTGTAGATCAGCTTTTTTTTTCCATACCCAAGCTTGTATTCTTGAGATACTTGGAGATCACTGACATGCCAGAGATAAGCATGCTTGTGTGTGTAAAACACCTGATACAAATGTATCTTGAGATTCTTCAGAGACGCCCTGAGAATATGTAAAAACCAGGGAGGTTGTTCTACACACTGCAGAGAATTTGGCCTGAGGAGAGGAGCCGTTAAGCTAGCCAGTATCCATAAGCACAGGAGGAGGTGCAGAAGCGGCTTTATTAGCAGAAGAAGTTCTCTTGGCAGACAGGCAGAGAGCTTTCAAGGACATGCAAATTTATAGAAGCAGTTACTAAACACAATTGCTAAATTTTCTGACCTATGCTAAGAATCAAGCATGAGGGGCCCTCCAGTCTATTTCATTTTGTTTATAACAATACTCATACAAACAAGTAAATAATCTTTAAAACGTTGGTTCTGATTTGTGGAAGAGCAGGGAAATTAAGCCATTACGGACCTGCTTCCTGATTTCTTTTAGAAAGCTGCATTCATGGATATGGAAGACTTAAGAACTTCTGGAAGTTCATCATCTTTATGTAATAAGTGCCATTTATGAGAATTGTAATAGAGTTTGTCGTCTTTATTCCTTTGCCTTACACCAGAATTTTCTGAAGAAACTGGAACAATCCTTTATGTGTGTCTGCTGCCAGGAGCTGGTTTACCAGCCAGTGACAACAGAGTGCCTCCACAACGTCTGTAAAGTAAGAATAAATCCGGTCTTGCTCTGGGCTGTTTCCTTGGCTCTGAGACACCAGTCACCAAAGCCATCTGTGTTTTAGAAAGACAATAATTGTTGCCTAACATTGTAAGCAAAAACATGCAACAAGTTTGCATTCAGTGATTGCTGCGTAACCTTAATTTTTTGCAATAAAGAGTGGAAGTACGTTTAGTGTAGCTCCTGACAGACGTAACGAGTGAAGTTTAACATTGCTGTCATCCTTTGTGATCAGTGGAATTACACAAGGAATTGGTTTGGTCCAGGAACTAGATGTTGGTACAGTAACAATAACATAATTGTACATATTTAAGGAATAAATCCAGATTTTGTAGTTGTCTAACACTCTTATTAAGAGTTGTTGAAGGGATGCAGGATAAATACAAGAAATTGTTTAGGCTTATTTGAAGTAAGTTATGGTTATCTGGTTATTCTTGGCATTGTTTATGTTTGGTAAGAGGGCCACAGAAGTCAACTCATAACACGTGTATCTTAAAATCTTGATCAGTTGGGTATAATGTAAGGAGTTTGGAATACAGTTTGTACTAGATTTAATTTTTGTAGCATGAGTGTGTATAGAATTTGAACTGTGCCTGCCGTACCTAGTACGTCTGCCTACAAGCCTAAAAGGACTCAGGCTATTATCATCCTAGTACAGTACCCGATAATGCAAGTTCACTGTTCAAGAAGATATGTATCACTCCAGTAAAAATCACTGTGGTGTTGTGGATGGCCTGCACAGATAGAATGATTATGGCTTTTCAACAAACATAAAAAGTATTTATGAAGGTTTAATATTTAGAGTTAAGGAAACTGGAAAACCATTGAGAAGAGAAAGCTGAACGGCAACAAACTCATAAAGCACAAAATTTGAAGATGTCAGTAAATATTTGTGAAGACAAAATAACATCCAGTTAAAGTTGTAAGGAATAGTTTGACAGTAAGCTGCTATTGCTGTTTGGGCACAGATCTGCGCTGACAACTTTTTGACATTTAGCTCACGTAGTTGGGCTCCCTGCAGCCTGTGGTAACGTAGTAAGGAGGGCAGCTTCTTATGAGTTTGAGATGCTAATGTGTTAGAGATTGTATTATTCTACATATGTCTTTAAGGCTTAACTGAATCTCATCCGATGAGGTAGATGGAGATTGTTACATGAACAATGTGCCTGGTGTACTCACCTTCCTCTTGGAATGAAGGTGTGGAAAACTGTGGCAATTTAAGTGGGAAGCTAGAAGGAAGCTGCAGACGTGGCTGCAATTCACAGGAAGGCAGTAGTGGAAATGAAGGGGGAATCTCAGCAGTGATTTGTTTTAATTCCTCCCAAGCTCAGTGTTTCACATCCCAGCCCAGAGCAGAGCTCCTTTGTGATGAAGACGTTTTAGTCATAGAGGCAGAGAGGTAGGTGCCAGAGGGCTTGGTAAGGGCTTCCCTTTTTCTGGTAGTACAGCGGATTGCATCTTTGGTTTATAGTGATTCCTTAGTTTTTGCTGGTTACGCTGTCAGTCTAAAACAAAGTTCTTGCAATTTACTTGTCTGTCTTTGTATGTCCTAGAGTTGTTTACAGCGCTCCTTCCGAGCTGAAGTCTTCACCTGCCCTGCCTGCCGCTATGACCTGGGAAAGGGCTACACCATGGTTCCCAACAAGATACTGCAGACACTACTGGACCAGTTCTTCCCTGGTTACAGTAAAGGACGATGATGTGCTCAGATCCTTCCGTACTTCTCCCAGTGACTTTATAGACAGTAAAGGAGAATAAACATGGGAAATTCAACAGTGGACCAGCCAGCTTGATGGGACTCGATATATTGTCACATTTTGAAGCAGCTAACCCTCTTCCCCTCATAGCCATCTTTTTGGTGTAGTGAGAACTCTAATTCTCAGCTGTCTTTTAACATCAAGGGTAGTTTTGGCCAGTTAACAAATAGTTTTTAAAGAAAAAGAAAAAAAGAAAAGCCTCAGCTCTTACTGGCCTAGCTGATGCTTAATTTATGATTTGTTTTTCTTTAACTACCTCAGGACAGAGGAAAATAAATTGTGGGGATGACAAAAAGTTAGTGAAGTTTTAGCTACACACTGCCTCCTGAATATTAGTTGTGCCTGGTCCATGTGGTTTGATTTACAAAAAAAAAACCCCAAACCAAAACAAAACCCACAAAAAACAGCAAAAAAAAAAAAACAACAACACGGAAACAGCACTTAAGCCAGCTGGATTAAAGAACAGCAAATTCTGTGGTGTGCATAATCCTTTTTTGTCTTTTTCTTCCATTATGCTGTATTTTTTTTTTTTTTGCAAGAACAGGCTGATTTTTAGTCTATTTTTGTGAGCTTCATTGTGCTTTTCTTGTATCTTATGCAAGTTGACTACTAATGACTAATGAGAACAATATGAATGCATTGTTGCTGCATTAGTGTAAAGTGATCTGTGTTTTTTGCACTTAAAGAGGGTATTCAAGACACTCTAGTTGTGTAAAAAATATTTCATATAAAAAAGCCACTTCTGTATTAGTTAAACTGTATGCTTTTAGTAGGTCTTGTATCAGTGGCAATACATCTACATGGCATTGAAGGCAGTGCTAGCTTGGAGAGGGTTCAAATCGCTTCATATTGTGATCTGAAATTTTATATACAATATATCCCCCCCCAAAATATACCTTATTAAATATTTTATGATTCAGAAAAATTGCTAATTTTGTTTTTACTATTATCCACTTGTTTTAATCATAATTTTGTTTGGTTTTTTCCCAAATTACTAAATGCTTTCTTTAGGGGAGCTTCTTATTTTTCTAACACAAGGCTTTGTATTCCTTAACTCACTTCTCAATGAAAAAAAACTTTGTTAATTAAGGAAAAAAAAACAACCAACCCAACCTGACATTGATACCCATGGGATCATGTAGCTGCTCTGGTCTCTACTGAGCATTTGAAGGAAACTTGTTAGTGCTCAATCCGTGTACTGGAGTTGGAGGGAGCCTTTCTTGCCCTGCTGGCGTTGGGGGTGCTTGCTGCCAGAGCCACCTCAGGGCAGTTGGGAGCTCTGGGTGCCCCGCGTATATAGAAGTATATATGGAGGTACATGTGTCATTCTCAGTAATTTATGATCTTGCCCAAACCCTGGTGTAGTAATGGACCAGTCATTGTGGAGATGCGTATGGCAGTGCTGGTTTTTGTGGCTGAAAGTTTGCTTAATGGCTTATTCACTTCATCTGAAATAAATAACTTCTCTCTCCCCACTCTCCCTCTCTCCCCCATTCTACATAGGATTTCAGTTGTATGCAAAATACATAATTCTGGTTTTATCTCTCTAGTCATATATCAAAGAAAAAAAAAAAGCCATTGCTGAACAGTTTTGAAAGATTTAACTCCTCAGCTTTTTCTGTGCTTACTAGAATGAGGGTTCAACCTTTGTTCCATAGGTGAATTGGTATTAGCGTTAAGTGTAGTTTAAAGGGGCTGTAGGCAGATTCTTATATCCTGTTGAAATTCTATGTTTTACAACATAGAACCTCAGTATTTTATGGCGAAAACATGTAATCTTATCTTTGTAACAATCTTTGCATCTGTGCTTACTGCACATAAGACTTGTGGCTTTTTACTTGATATTCGAATGCTGTGAAATATTTTATATCTTTTAATGTGTTTTTCTGTTTGATAGCTTTTACCAATTAATTGACAAGATAAATTTGTCAGTTTGAGGTCAACAATGGGAAGTTCTCTGCATAACACAAAAATAGGTAAAACAATTTTTTAGTGTATCTTTTCAGTGACAGACACAATCAAGCAACATGAAACTGTCGTTAAGAAACAGTACTGTAGCTTGACAAGACTTTGTGGAGTTTGACTGGCAACACAGAAAGACTGTCCTTTCCTCACATTAAAAGTTTGTAGTTTTTTCACAATTTTTTACACCCTTAGTTCTGTATCAGTAGCAACTGAAAGACACCCTTTTCAATAGTAAATTCTAGAGTATAAAATTCTAATTTTCTTCACTATGTATATAGACACTTTAGGACCTAGATGCAGCTTTTCACATCAACGCTGATATCTGGCCTAAAATACCCTTTAATGAAATTCATTCCTGTCATCTGCAGTCGCTTTGTGTAATTAAAGCCCCCATTGAAGTCATAAGGTAGGTAATGAAAAAGCTGCAGTCCCGAAACTTTTACTATAAAGGACACAAAAGTACAGTACTTGAGACAGTGCTGTGAATGCTAGCCTCATTTGTGTCACTTCAGGGAACGCTCCCAGGCACGAGCGTGGGTATAGACCTTCAAGGCGAGGTCCAGTAGTTGCTGGTTGTAAGGTTCAAAACTGTGCAGTCCTTTCCCCAGTCTGAGCGTTACCCCCGTTATCTCCTTCCTCATCCACCAAAACCCTGCTTTGTGTGGCAGAATGGGTTTGTCTCCACAGGGGGGGCCCACTTGCTTGCATCGAATGCAAATCAATCTGCACTGACCCTTTCAAATGCGCACGTAACACATACAGCCTGTGTAACTGGTGAGGTGATCAGTTTTATATACATTTGACTGGGAACGGATCAGAAAAGGCTCCTGTTTAAGGTCAGTGTTGTGGCTTACTTGGTAATTGACTGTGGCATTGTGTGTGGCAGGAGGGCTCTGGTCTCAGGGTGCTGTCAGTATTCTTGGAGGGCCAGAGCTAAAGCTGTGAAGCAGCTCTGTATAAACCAAAGCCAGTATCCAGATTTGAGGAACTGGAAGCAGAATACTTTGTTAGACAAGATCTAACTCGTACTAAGCAGTTCACAGTCTGCTGGAAAAGGTGTTTGATGCCTTCTCTGGAATAAGAGGAGAGGATTAGATGGAGCTACAAGGAAAAATTAACGTGATACAGAAAAAAATTAAGTTTGTAAGCTCAGTAAAACTGATCATTCTAGCTCATTAAAAAACTCAGAGATTTATTTCAATGTTAATCTCCACCAGTATTTTGCTTTGTGTAGAAGCTGTTACTGCTTTGGCAATTCTGACAAATCAGAACTTAAGCTTCATCATTTAATACTGCTCTGTTGGATAAACCCAGCTGAAAAGTTAAAATCCAGAACATGACAACATTTAAAATTCTGACCAATTTTATTAGAGTAGTAACATTAGAAGGTAAAAAAAACGGTATGAAATATTAACACTAGCAATGTGGTAATACGTGAAGTAAATTGAACAATCTACTTCATCTTTTTTTACAAAATATAAACAATTACTCCTGCAGTTAATATTATTATTGCCTTATGCATCTGCATCTTTTCTACTTTTTTTAACCGTATCTTCCACGCCACTTTGCAAATTGCGTGTTAATTGTTAAAATTGTTAAAATTGTTAACACTTTAGCATAAAACAGAGAAAATGCTGAATCAAGGCAACTTCAACATAAACTGCTGTGGAACAATCACATTTTGTTTGCATCTAACATATTGATTGTATTTACATTTTAACTGAGCAGTGATTCAATTAACAAACATCGTGATTATCCAAAATATACACAGTATATAAATCCCCTATCAGCTCTGGGAGGGAAAGGCCACCCTGATGGACGAGGAAATCCAGGCAGTGGGAAGCAGTCTTACGAAGATGCTCTCTTCTGTTCAGAAAAGGGAGATTCGTAGGCTTCCATTGGTGGGCAGGTACAAACCAGATGTTGGTCTCCATATATGTCGTCAATGCGAGCAATTGTGGGCCAAAACTTGCTTTCAGGCTTCACAAATGGCTAAGTACAGAAGACAAAACAACTACTTTAATTTTTGTACCAAGCAAATCTACGTAATTGCAGCAGACATTAGGATTTTAAGAATGAGAAATGCTGGAAAAGTCATATTTCAACTCTATTTGCAGTTGCTGAAAGGTAACAAGCATGTATAATAGAGTTAACAGTCAAAAGAATAGTTAGAATTTCAAAAAAGTCCTCTAACAAATGCTTGCAAAGAAGCAGTTGTAATGGGATAAAAGAAAACTATGACCCTATGAAAAACTGGCTTACAGATAGGAACCAAGGAAAAGTGGAGGAGACTACCAAGACCTGTGCTGTTAAATATGTTTATAATACAACATATAAAACAACGTGGCAAACTTCACAGGTGCAGTTAAATTCTTCCTCTTTGAAACAGTACGTAGCAATAAAATAGATGCAATTCAGTTTTAGGTGAGAAAAGTTAGTTACACATACATTTAGCTGTTAAGATTGTGGAAACAATTTTATGTAGTGCTCTGAAGAAGTCTGATGTATCCAGCTCCAGTTTGACCTTTATTCGTAGCCGGCTCACAGTGGTGCAGCTTGCCCCGTGCTGACCATGCGTCTTGTCAAACCCTCATCCAAGTTTTTTGGAGTAGAGCTTTGAACATCAGGACGTGGGACTCTGTTTAGGGAGCCCCCGGTGCAGCATGTCAGAACTGAACGGGCTGCTTCCAATAGGAATATCCAATATCGAAGTGCTGAGATTTAGAAATCCAAGTTTGCACTGCATGTGTAGAGCCTTTTTTTTTAAAGATCTTTTTTCCTTGTCTTGAAAACTAAAAGTAATGGAACTATTGTAGAGCTCACACACATAAAAATCGAGCAACAGCAAAAATGGCTCTGAAGTCTTTATTCTCACCAGATTACTTCATCTCCCAACTGTCCAGAAAACCACAGAGCAAAAAGCACATTTATGTATTACCACACCACTAGGATCCCATTATTTACTCACCAGTGGGAATGCTGCCACTTCTCTGGAATAAGGACGGTCCCATTTGGAAGCAGTGACACAGTTCAGAGTATGTGGTGACATCTACAAGCACAAGACCAGTTTAGGAAATGAAATTCCAGAATTCAGTTGAACATATCAGAGTGAACCCTTCTTCAAGTTCACATTACTACATATAAATAATTACTGTCTACAGAGTCTCTTGAGAATACTGTTTATCTGGGGGGAAAAAAAGCAGATTTAAAAGAGGAAGCAAGTCAGTATCTGGATTTTTTTTCAGTTTGCCTGAAGATACTACCCAGGGTTTGAATATGCTTCCAGCTTTTCACTAAATTCCCTCAGTATTTAAAAAGTCAGTACAGCATTACATGAGTTGAGCAGAACTTGAGGCTATAGCAATTCTGTGTGGCAGTTGCTAAAAGAATTAATTCAATCTTTATTTTAC